TCATAAATCCCAAATTAAATTATAATATTCGGCAATTAAATTCCAAATCTCCTTAATTAATCAAGTACTAATCATTATACGTGATGGGGTCGTTACACTAATGCCAAAATAAAAAGGTTAATGAATGAAATCCAACATATTATAAAAACATGTTTTACAATTTCAAAACGAATCATATTTCACATTCATGTCAAAACATTTACTATAACAAAGTCCATCATCTCATAAAACACATCTTCTAATTTCCAAAACAATTCAAATATCCAATCATATCAATATTTGCGATAACAATAACCGACTGAGTCATATACTTGGTACATTCAATAGAGTAACAATATAAAAATGTGCGGAAGCTAATAGGACCACTAGGGTTAATCCGATGGGACCACAACGGATCAATCAATAATCCATAATTCAATGTGGACTATTAAAGTATAACATCAGAGATTTCTGTATTTCAATTAATCCAATAGGCCATAGTATTATTTCCTCCAGGCAAGAGTTTATTAATAAATGGGTCATGGTATTATTTCCTCCATGCAATGACCTATTAATCAATGGGCCATGGTATTATTTCCCAGGCAAGGGTCTCACTAAATGATGCTATGAATACATTTCAAAAAAGGATATTCATTCATTCATATAAAATAACATTTCAAAATCATCATCGTGTAGCAATTTTCAAAACATATTTTGAACATATCTTTATAAGGATATTACTCACACTGAGCTTGACTCGAATATAACTCCTCGGACGCCTAACCTACATTAAGCACACAAACGAATATATCGAAATATAATGTTACTCTCTTGATCACATATAACTTCTCTTGTTCTTTTCTTCCCAAATAAACCGAATTCTTATTTCACGTATTCTTACTTTCTTATTCTTTCTTTTCAAATAAATTGATTCCTTACTTTGCTTCATAATCAATTAACTTATGTTGGTTTTTAATTTATTAATCATCAATGAGTCATAATTTATGTCTAATAATGTTTGGGAAGAGATGAGAATGAAAATATAAAAAATATGTAATTTTTCAAAACATGCTGAAAAGGCCTAATCGCTCGAGCCACTTCTTCGTCACCCAAGCAGACTGTACAATCTGCAAAAACACTGGATGGGTCAAAAATGTGCTCAAGCCAACACGTGGTCACTCGAGCGATTTGTAAATTTGCTGGGTTTTCAAAACTGAAGATTTAGCTTCCAAACTTCATTTCAAAACTTCGGCTCATGCTTGACTCAATTTAAATATGTAATTTCATTAATAAACATAAACCCATGACTAATTTTTAAATTATAATACAAAACCCTCTTTGATTTGTCAAGATTAAAACTAAAACTTGATGAATATAATGATTTTAAAGCTTTTCTTCATTTTTCTTACAAAATATGAAATTAAGGTTATAAAATTCTTTAAAAAATATTTGCATGTCAAAACTTGCAATTGAAGTTGTACAATTCTTAGAAAAATATTTGCATGTATGTAATTAAAATCCAGACTAACTAATTTTACTTGTTCCAAAATCAAATCATAAATGTTCGAATTTAAATTGAATAAAATAAAACTCTTCAATTACATTGCATGCATGGATTAATAATCAAGATCAAATCAATTCCTAGTTGTTAAAACAAAATCAAAACCTCATTTAACTTCAAGATTAAAGTCCAAATTTTCATGAACTTGATGTTTGTAAAACTTTTTTCTTCTTCTCTTCAAAATATGAAATTGAATAGCTCAAATTCTTTAACATCTATAATGCATGTAAATATTGAACTCAAATACTCCAAATGGTTTAAAATCAAACCCAATTTAATGAAATTTAAGATTAAACTCAAAATATATATAAACCCATGATTTAGTAATTCTTCTTTCAAATAATGAAATTAATCCTTCAAAACTTTTAAAAATCCATGATGCATGCGTAATTGAAACTCAAAACTTATAGAATTTGTTCATGCATGTAAAAATGAAACTTAAATTCATGCAAGACTACAAAAATCAAACCCAAAATAATTAATGTTCAAATTTATTCTATAATCTTTAACCTAACTCATTGTTCTTTATTTTCTTGCTAATTTCTTTTTAATTACATGAAATTGAACCTAAATCCTTTTTGATTTCAAGTGTTAAGTGAATTATTTAAAAAAAAAATTAAACAAGAAATTACCTTAATTTGTTGAATTCTTAAATTTTTTTCCAATTTTTATTTTTCCTTAAGCTTTTTTTTCTTCTTCTCCTTTTAGAGTAAATTTCCAGCAAACACAAGTTCAACTCTCTCTCTCTCTCTCTCCCCTACGGGTTTCTCAACAATTCCAACTCTTAAATCCAAAACACACACACACACACACACAGATGACAACGCGGCGGAGCAGGGTCGGGGATCACAGTCCCTGTCCCGAATCCCCGACGGTGGAAATTCTCCGATCCCCAGTCCCGATCCTCGACGGGGAACCTATATCCGCCTCCGCCCTGGTCCTCTAACAGGGATTGGGTTTCCCCGACCTCGAAAATTCTCTGGCCAATTTTTTTTTTTAAATCTAACAGATCTGTTCATCATCAATAACAACAATAACGTAGAGAGAGAGATATGTTCATCATTATCATACAGATCTGTTCATCATCATCATCATTATCATCAACAACAACATAGAAAGAGAGAGATTTGTTCATCATCATCATCATTAACAACAAAATATATATAGAGAGAGAGAGATCTGATGCTCAAATCTTATGTATATATATGTATATAACAAATAGAGAGAGAGAGAGAGAGAGAGAGAGAGAAAATATCAAATCTAGGGCGAGGGCTGCGACGGAGATCGGCCTCACCGCCGGATGGTGTCATTGCCGGATTGGCGAAGCTTGGTTGGATGGTGTCACTGCAACTACCGTAAACAGTGGTGATGGTGGCAGTGATTCGACAAGCTTGGTCTTACTACTGTTGGAGAAGAAAAAGAAACGGTGGAGTTGTGGTGGCTAAATCGGCGGTCGGGGAAAGTGACGGAGGTTGGGGAAAATGAACTCAGATCTTGGTAGTGATTGGAGGAGAGAGATGAGGGAGATCTGCGGTGATGGGAGGATAGAGGTCGGCGGAGGGTTTTAGAGAGAGAGAGAGAGAGAGAGAGATGAGAGGCAGTAATGAGGTGCTGTTGTGTGAGTGAAAGGGTTGGTTTATATATATATATATATATAGAGGGGTAAAATGGTAATTTTACTTCGGGGAAATTCGGGGCCGGGGACGGGCCGGGACTTGAACACTGATCATCGTCCCCGGCCCGAAACTAATCAGGGATTCAATTTTTAATACCATCCCCGGCCCAATGGGGATAATTTTCAAAAAAAACCTACTCAAATCAGGGTCGAGAGATTGGGTCCCCGTCGAACCGAGTTTAAATTGCCATCCCTACACACACACACACACACCATTCTCAACGCACATACAAAATTTCTCTACACACCCACACCCACACCAACATCATTCTCAGCACACATACAAAATTTCTCTACACACCCACACCCACACCCATATATCCCCTCAAATTCTAGACAATTTTACCATTTAATTTATGATTAAGATTAGCTTAATTAAGTAATATTTAATCTTAATTAATTGTGATTAGTACATAACTTAATTAATCATAACTAATCACAAACCTCACATAATTTAATTAGTCTACTTGATTTCAATTAAGACTCAATTAATTATATTTAATTTTTATTATCTGAATCAGATTTTTAATCAAATTCCCAAAAGGCTTCAAATATTAAATCATCAATTTTAGTTTCTTAAATCACTAACGCCTTCAATTTCTGATCAAGCTCAAAATCTCTGCCAATAAATTACATATTCAAATTAGACACTTTATAAATAAATTTAATTCATAATAATCATAATTCTCATCCCCATAATTTTATTAACTTAATTAATTCTAATTCGGACTCAATTAATCTAATTTTAATTTTACTAAACCGAATCAAATATTAATTAAACTCCCAAATGGGTCAATATTTAAAATTAAACTGATTCAACTAATCAATTTTACCTTATTAGAGTTCGTTTGGGAGGTGAGTTAGCTTTTTGATTTTTTGACTATTTTAGCCTAGGGTTAAAAAGCCTCGTTTGAGATAGGCTTTTGGGTTTTTTTGACTTTTTGTGAGAGAAAGAATGTAATGATTATGGATTGGATGTTACATTTTGTCTTATTAGGCTAAAAAGTTTATTTTGTCTTTTTATGGCTAAAATAGCCTCAAACCCAACCCAACCCAAGTTTTCAAATGAAAGCTAAGCCATTTAGGCTTCCAATTTCTAATTTCAAAATAAATTCTCAATACAATCATATACGAATCAAATTAAATAATTCTCATAAATTCTAAATTCAATTAGAATAAAGACTAATTAAAATCCAAATTTCTTTTATTAATTAAATGCCAAATATTATACATGGTGAGATTGTTACAAAAGTGTCTTAAAAATATATAAAATTATTAAAAAGTGTATTAATTTTAGTAAAATTACATTAAATTTAATGAAAAATAGTGTACTCTTTAAATTTTTTTTATCTTTTATGTATGTCATATAGACACTTGTTAGACCATCTCTAATGGTTCATAAAATGTTTCATTAAATTTAAATTTGATGAAAAAATTCAATTTTTGTTGCTCCAACCTAATATAAAATCTTTTATCAAATTAAGAATGAATATGTTTTTCATTAAATCACTATTCATAGTCATTAGATATTACCTTCGAATATCTCTAAATAACCACTTCATCAAAACAAAAATTTATAAAAAAATTATACTAATTTATCAACCAGTGGAATATCCATCCGGTCATTCACCCAATTAACCAATGTCCTAATGGAACTTTAAAAACCTCGATTAAATTACTTGATATTAAGTAAAATTTTTATTCAAATTTGATTTAAAAAAAAAATGATCCATGGTCTTAGCAAGACTTCCAATAAAAAATGACAAAAAAAGGGAAAAAGGACAAGTATAATCCTAATCCTAATCCGACAATACGGTTCGAAAATTCCCACGATAAGAGCCCCACCGGTTGTTTCCAATTGCAAACTGTTGATCTTCATCTTCGTTCCGTTGACGATCCTTTTCAACTGTTCAACCCTCCCCCAATCTCTCTCTCTCTCTCTCTCTCTCTCTCTCTCTCTCTATCCACCAAGTGCATGGATATGCTTTAGTGCCAGCGGGGCCGGGGATCACACCCCCCGTCCCTGATCCCCGACGGTGGAAAATCCCCCGTCCCTGACGAGGAACCTATATCCACCCTCGCCCCCGCCCCCTATCCCTAACGGGGATCGGGCTTCCCCGATCCCGAAAATTTTCTGGCCAAAAAAAAAAAATAGATCCAACAGATCTGTTCATGATCAACAACAACAACATAGTATAGAGAGAGATGAGCTCAAATGTTAAATAAAAAAAAAATTCAAATCTAACAGATCTGTTTATCATCATCATCATTATCATCAACAACAACAACATAGAGAGATATCTAATGCTCAAATCTAATATATATATATATATACACACATAACAAATCGAGAGAGAGAGATATCTGTCACTGGAGAGATATCTGATGCCCAAGGAGATGGTGGAGCGGCGGTTAGAGATAGTGACGGAGGTCGGGAAAGAACTCAGATCTCGGCGTGATGGGAGGAAGAGAAAAACTCAGATCTCGGCGGTGATAGGAGGAGGGAGAGGAGGGAGATCGCGGTGATGGGAGTATGGAGATCGGCGGAGGGTTTTAGAGAGAGAGAGAGAGAGAGAGAGATGAGAGGCAATAATGAGGTGCTGTTGTGTGAGTGAAAGGGTTGGTTTATATATATATATATATATAGAGGGGTAAAATGGTAATTTTACTTCGGAAAAATTCGGTGCCGAGGACGGGCCGGGACTTGAACACTGATCATCGTCCCCGGCCCGAAACTAATCAGGGATTCAATTTTTAATACCATCCCCGGCCCAATGGGGATAATTTTCAAAAAAAACCTACTCAAATCAGGGTCGAGAGATTGGGTCCCCGTCGAACCGAGTTTAAATTGCCATCCCTACACACACACACACACACCATTCCACATACAAAATTTCTCTACACACCCACACCCACACCCACACCCATATATCCCCTCAAATTCTAGACAATTTTACCATTTAATTTATGATTAAGATTAGCTTAATTAAGTAATATTTAATCTTAATTAATCGTGATTAGTACATAACTTAATTAATCATAACTAATCACAAATCTCACATAATTTAATTAGTCTACTTGATTTCAATTAAGACTCAATAAATTATATTTAATTTTTATCATTCTGAATCAGATTTTTAATCAAATTCCCAAAAGGTTTCAAATATTAAATTAAACTTATTGTCATCATCAATTTTAGTTTCTCAAATCACTAAGGCCTTCAATTTCTGATCAAGCTCAAAATCTCTGCCAATAAATTACATATTCAAATTAGACACTTTATAAATAAATTTAATTCATAATAATCATAATTCTCATCCCCATAATTTTATTAACTTAATTAATTCTAATTCGGACTCAATTAATCTAATTTTAATTTTACTAAACCGAATCAAATATTAATTAAACTCCCAAATGGGTCAATATTTAAAATTAAACTGATTCAACTAATTAATATTACCTTATTAGAGTTCGTTTGGGAGGTGAGTTAGCTTTTTGATTTTTTGACTATTTTAGCCTAGGGTTAAAAAGCCTCGTTTGAGATAGGCTTTTGGGTTTTTTTGACTTTTTGTGAGAGAAAGAATGTAATGATTATGGATTGGATGTTACATTTTGTCTTATTAGGCTAAAAAGTTTATTTTGTCTTTTTATGGCTAAAATAGCCTCAAACTCAACCCAACCCAACCCAACCCAAGTTTTCAAATGAAAGCTAAGCCATTTAGGCTTCCAATTTCTAATTTCAAAATAAATTCTCAATACAATCATATACGAATCAAATTAAATAATTCTCATAAATTCTAAATTCAATTAGAATAAAGACTAATTAAAATCCAAATTTCTTTTATTAATTAAATGCCAAATATTATACATGGTGAGATTGTTACAAAAGTGTCTTAAAAATATATAAAATTATTAAAAAGTGTATTAATTTTAGTAAAATTACATTAAATTTAATGAAAAATAGTGTACTCTTTAAATTTTTTTTATCTTTTATGTATGTCATATAGACACTTGTTAGACCATCTCTAATGGTTCATAAAATGTTTCATTAAATTTAAATTTGATGAAAAAATTCAATTTTTGTTGCTCCAACCTAATATAAAATCTTTTATCAAATTAAGAATGAATATGTTTTTCATTAAATCACTATTCATAGTCATTAGATATTACCTTCGAATATCTCTAAATAACCACTTCATCAAAACAAAAATTTATAAAAAAATTATACTAATTTATCAACCAGTGGAATATCCATCCGGTCATTCACCCAATTAACCAATGTCCTAATGGAACTTTAAAAACCTTGGTTAAATTACTTCATATTAAGGCCTCGTTTGGAGATTGACTATTTTAGCAAAAAAGTCAAAAAGTCAATTAAAACTAATCACATCACCTCTTTATTTTTCTGCACATCTTTTCATAAAAAGTTAAAAAATTACTAAAATAGCCTGTTCCCAAAGTAAATTTTTTATTCAAATTTGATTTAAAAAAAAAAAAATGATCCATGGTCTTAGCAAGACTTCCAATAAAAAATGAAAAAAAAGGGAAAAAGGACAAGTATAATCCTAATCCTAATCCGACAATACGGTTCAAAAATTCCCACAATAAGAGCCCCACCGGTTGTTTCCAATTGCAAACTGTTGATCTTCATCTTCGTTCCGTTGACGCTCCTTTTCCACTGTTCAACCCTCCCCCAATCTCTCTCTCTCTCTCTCTCTCTCTCCACAAAGGTATTGTTCTCTATGATCATTTGACAGTTTGAATTTTATCTTTGTACTTGATCAATCGATTAATTGCTAATGCTCGATCATCTTGTTGGTTTTGATGTATCTAAGGTTTTTGAATTCGATTTGAGGTTGTGATCATCGCTATAAGCTTCGATGAAAGGTGAATTACAGCTGGAGCCATCGGGGGAGCGGAACCCTAGCGATTCCGATCCTCTCCTTCAAAATCAGCATGTCGATTCACCCTCTTCGTCTTCGCCTTCATCGGTGAGTTCGGGTGAGATAAAAAATGAGGATATTGAAGCTGGTTCTGTTGCTTGTTGTCGAATTTGCCTTGAATGTGATGGAGAGGAAGGTTAGATTTTGTTTTTGGCATTCAATTTGATTGCTTTTCTTTTGTGGGTTTTGATGATTTGAACAATTTGATGATCAAAATTGAGCTGGCATGTTTTGTTGATGATTGGTATCAATCTAGGATTGTGTTTGCGTAGTTGTATAGAATCAATGACATACATTGAATCTCAGAACTTGATGGGTTTTGTTTACTGGAATTATGTGAAAACCTTCAAAAATGAAAATTTTAAATTAAAATCGAAGTGGAGATAGGGGAATTGTGTCACTTTGGCATCTTCGAAGTTAGAATAAATCTACTAGTAATAATGTTATTAATTTAATGGGGTAGCTCAAGAGATCAAGACCATGAAGGAGGCCATTGAGTCGATGCAAGGGATTGGTCGCTATGGAAACCCTGAACATCCATGGCTGAATCAGTTCAAAGTTCCCGATTTTGCCAAGTATGATGATCCTTGGAACCCGGTCACTTATCTAAGATTCTATGTAGGAGACCTCTGTGGGCATTCAAATAATTAGAAGCTTCTCATGCAACTCTTCTAGCATAATCTCTCCGGTTCTGCTCTGCAGTGGTTCACCAAACTGGAGATACCCCAAATTTGTACCTGGCCTGACCACCCATTTATAATATTAACCCTTTGTTTGACAGTAGAGTATTTGTATTTTTGTTATTTTCTGTGTCAAAAACTACATTTGTTTATGCTTATTATAGGATATTGAGTCACAAGTCAAGTAAAATTTTGATCTGTAAAAATGTGAAGTACACGAATTTCAATTTTTCAAGAATGTTATGCTCTACTCTTATTATATGCACACATGAAGTTTTTTTTTTAAAAAAAAGGGTGCTGCTACTTGTTTATATTATCCATTTTTTTTGGCTAATGCTTTTTGTTTTTTTAATAATGTTAGATGATGAATTGATATCCCCATGCATGTGCAAAGGCACTCAACAGTTTGTGCATCGCTCATGCCTTGATCATTGGCGATCAGTCAAGGCAAGTATTAATGTTGCTGTTTTTAAAAAATTGAATATGATTGCTTAAATTCCAATAAAAAGTATGTCATCCTTTACGTTTTTCCTTTTCTATGATAGGAAGGATTTGCTTTTTCACATTGCACAACTTGCAAAGCTCAATTTCATCTTCGAGTTGAGGAGTTTGAAGACAACTCCTGGCGTAAAATAAAATTCAGAGTTTTTGTGGCCAGGGATGTTTTCCTGGTATTTTTGGCTGTTCAAACTGTGAGTAGTACTTTGTTCCCATCTCCTTTCGATACAGTATTTAACAGAAGTGCCATCTTATCATTAATCTGCCAATTTTATTTTAATAAATGTTTTCATCTTTTGCTAGCACAATTTGCTTTCTTGTAGCTAATTTTTTTTCCTCTTTAGATTTAAAATTTTCATTTTGGTGCCATTCATGCATGAGGTAAGCATTAGCAAGAACTCAAGGAAACCCAATGTAATAATGCCAAAACTATGGGGGGTTTACTATATTTTCTTGAAGCCTCAGGGAGGTTAGTGTAATTTACGCATAAATAAGTTAATAGTTTGGTAGTGTACTAGATCTTAGTCTCTTTTCTTATTAATATTCACTGATATCCTCAAGTACATTGATTTGTTGGTGTTGATCATTTAATTACCGTGCTTGCTTAGATTGTTAATATGCATATGATTCATTCATCCATTTCTCAAATCAGTTTAATAGTCATTCCAGCTTGCTCAATGTGATAAGCATACTGCTTTCACCTGGAAAAGATTTCAATCAGAATTTCTATAAATTTTGATGCACTTAGTTTTGTACACATGACTTGCACGGACTCTCATAGTTATATAACTAAAAATTATTGAGGAATGGGAACTTAGTGACCTAAAGTCCAAATGTATTTCAAGCTTTTGACCTTTTTTCCCCTACTAATCACATTTTGTATTCGTAATTAGACTCATATTGCCCTTACCCATACCATACAATTATCTATTTGGTTTACTAACCTTGTATAAGAGATCGTCATGCTTGTAGAGTAATTACAGACCACCACATTCCTGGAAGGACTCTCCAAAACCAACTTTGGTTTCCTCATTCCTTTTCCCAATTACTTAATAATCTTACCCATTTTTCTTCCCTTCTCTCCATTGTTGTACACATGACTTGCACGGACTCTCATAGTTATATAACTAAAAATTATTGAGGAATGGGAACTTAGTGACCTAAAGTCCAAATGTATTTCAAGCTTTTGACCTTTTTTTCCCCTACTAATCACATTTTGTATTCGTAATTAGACTCATATTGCCCTTACCCATACCATACAATTATCTATTTGGTTTACTAACCTTGTATAAGAGATCGTCATGCTTGTAGAGTAATTACAGACCACCGCATTCCTGGAAGGACTCTCCAAAACCAACTTTGGTTTCCTCATTCCTTTTCCCAATTACTTAATAATCTTACCCATTTTTCTTCCCTTCTCTCCATTGGACATCCAAAAAAGAATCGTTGAATCTGGTCCCCTTCTGCCTTCTTCCAACATCCCCAACGCTTTGTGTGTCTTTCATTGCCTGAGTTTGATAATCATTAGAAAAACAACATACCTCACAGCTATGTGGTTCTATTATTCAGAACTTGCCTCCATCAACCTTGGTCGACCTGGCATATCAATACTGAGCTATCATGCCATTCCCTTGGTCACCAGCAACTTCTCCATGCCCAGTGACTTCAACCTCACCCTGCTTAGCCACATCATCGGCTGTTGTAACAAGCTCTCTGTTGTATATGTAGCTTTGGCACTTGGGTCCTAGCGCTCATTGTCACTACCATGATGTATGGGTGTATATAAGTATGTATACATGTATATTTGACTCCCCTTGATTGGTCATTAAGTTAGGAAAGGAACAAGGAAGTGCAGGTGTGTAGGTGTGTGTGGGCACGCCCGCGGCGTGTACGTGTCTGTAAGCAATGATTTTTGGTTCATTCTTCTTCTGAAACTATTGGAAATGGAACCTGAAAGTGAGGACCCTTTCATTTGCTGGCAATATCACTGAGCATAAAAGCATTTTCGTGGTCCATAATTTATAAGTAGTTTATTCTTTAAAAAGGGAAGGCACGGGCTGCATTTTCCTCGATACTATTCCCCGTCTACAAGAAGTTTGACTACCACATCTGCAAGTTTTATGTACACATTTTTTCTGATTAATTATTTAATATATACCTAAAATGATTCAATGTCCTAACCTTCTAGTCACTTGTTACATGCATACGGATTTGACAAGCAATGGCCTTTTGAAATTGGTATATTTTGAACGCTGCTATTTGATGATTCTATCATTTTTCAAGGACTGAATCTCGGTATATCCCCTGCACTTTCAAAATTTCGGTCATGCACTTTAGGTCTTTTTATATATCCAGCATCATTTACCATCCCCCTCACACATTTATCTAAAAGGGTACCTCTGTTTTGCAGGTAATTGGTGCAATGGGTGGGTTTGCATACGTTATGGACAAAGATGGATCTTTCAGGAATTCATTCAATGATAGTTGGGATCGTATACTATCAAAGCATCCCATACCATTCTACTATTGTATAGGTAAACCTCAAGCATTAACTGTTGAACTAGTCTAGTACTTCAAGCAATTAGTCTCTGACAAATTGACAAATGATTGCAAATTATTTGTATGGGGTTAATCTTCTGTGGCATATTCTTTGTTTGATACTTTGTATACCACAAATTAGATCATTGTCCAATGGAAACCAACATATTAAAGGGCAAATCTCTAGGGACTGCAAGGAGGTGTAGGCGGTGTAGTATGTAGTTGGCATTCTAAGTGGCCATTATGTGGTTTGTCAGGTTGTTGCCATGGATACCCCGTGTTTTCTTCAATAACAATATCCATGCAGCTAATGATGCTCTGGTTTTAAGAATGAAACAAATGTTATAACTTTGCATTTATTTCATGTTCTTGAACTTTTGTTAGGCTTCAAGTGGGAACAGTGAGAAACTGTAACCTGTGCTTTAAATATTAGGTTTAACATTTCAGATGGCTACTTCAACTGAATATGTTCAATCAGTTGCAGATGGGGTTTCTTTCTTCTCTGGAAATCTGATGTGGGGTTTCTTTCTTTAGGTTCGTTGTCTAAGTGGGAAGAGTATTTACAATTTATATATGCCTGGTTAACAAGATTGTTTCTCAGATCTAAAAGGAAAATCAAAGTGCATGCTGTAAAATTGGAACTGGGGTGAGGAGAGAACATCTAAATGGCATGAGAGTTTTTGAGTTGGAAAGTCAGTGACAAAATATGTCACAAGAATGTCTTCTGTTATCAAAATTTTACGATTCGCAATTCGATTTGCAATTTTTGCAAAATTGATACGACTCTATGGGTGAATCTATTTTGGAAGTAAATCATCGATTCACGATTCGATTCACCTTTTACGATTCATGCAATTTTTGAAATTATTGTATCCGACATATTTTCAATTCTTTTTTCTCCATATTTTTAGTGAAAATGACATAATACAACTTCTAATAACGTTTAATACCAAAATAACCAATATATATACATGATTTTTTGTTATTTTAGTAATCATGGAGTTTTTAATAAGATCCAATCAGATTCAGTCAGACCTAACATATTTTTAACCTTTCTTCTTATTTTTTTTCCTTTTAAAAAATCATAATATATATTTTAAAGATGTTTAAGATTAAAGTTACACTATGAATTATCTATTGTTATTTTATTAAATTGAATATTACATGTGTGAGGTCAGTAAATAATTTTTTCTTATTATTTGCTCGCTGTTACTTAGAAAAGTATGTATGTTTATTGTCCAAATATCAATATCGTTGGTAATTATTGTTACTTTAGAAATTGATATTTTTTCTATTTGGTTATTATCTTTATTAAGAATAGTTGATAAGAAATATCTAAAAAGAAAAAAAATGTAAGATGGTGATCTTGCACAGGAACCTTTGTTAACTTCTTACCTATTGAACTACTTGATTATCATTCAAAATAACATTTTTATTAATTTAAGTCTAAATATTTTATATTTATAAGATATATTTAACGTCTAAATGTGTAGATATATATTTTTAAGTAACTTAAAAAAAGTGGTCGAATCTTTATGATTCACGATTCAATTTGATTCGTGATTCGGTACGAGGCCATTTCGATTTGCGATACGAATCCCGATTTGACAACTATGGTCCCAACTACCAACCTTGCAGTGAGATTTTATTTTTTTGGTTTTCTTTACAATTATCTTTGAAATCTTGGATACTATGCCAAGAATTTTGAAGATCTTGGCTGGCACTTGAATAAGAGACAATGAACACCCACTTGTTTGCTGTCCACCAAGGCAGTAAACGCATGTATATATATATATATATATATTTTAAGGATGTAAAGCTGGTTGTTTTTGTCTCAATACCTAGTTACTTACAATATTTTTTTATTTTTCCGTTGTTTAATTATCTTAAATAACATATCAAAGACATTTGAAGACAGACGTTTTTCTCTGTTTGTTTTCTCATAAGTGAATAGTTATTTGGATCACACACTTATCTTGATCATTTCAATTAATGCTACCAGGAGTGCTGGCCTTCTTTGTGCTGCTTGGGTTCTTTGGACTCGTACTACACTGTTCCTCCCTTAATAGTAATGACCCGCGCATGGCTGGTTGCCAGAACTGCTGTTATGGATGGGGCATTTTGGACTGTTTTCCTGCATCAATGGAAGCCTGCTTCGCTTTGGTTATTGTCTTTGTTGTCGTTTTTGCTATTCTGGGCATAGCTTATGGTTTCCTTGCAGCCACTATGGCCATCCAAAGAATCTGGCAGAGACACTACCACATCCTCACCAAGAGGGAACTCACAAAGGTATGGAGTCTTCAATCAACCTTGCCAGGAAAAGTTTTATTTCTTTGCTAGTGTACTTTTCATTAATATTATTGTTTATTTAAGCTAGGGAATTTCAACAACAGGATGCATAAATTGTCCATTTGTTAAACATTTAAAGTGGAAAATAGTATAATATTTTAACAAAATTAAACTTTTAAAGTGGCAAGTTGCAGAGATTTTGTTGAAAAGAAAAAGTAAAGAAAATGGGATATATAACGATTTAAGGGGTATTCTTAAATTTCAAAGGAATAGATTGATATATGTTTTTTTAATTGAGGATTAAAATGTAATTTTTGAAAATTTGAGAAGGGCACGTGCCCCTCCTTGCCTTTATGTGGCTCCGCCACTAGCCATGGGTGCTGCAGCCGTGAATCTTAAATTTCTGTTATTAAACGTGTACGCTAATGCAATCCAATTTTGTAATTTGTGGGTTTTCAGCAGAACCATTTTTTGTCAACTAGCTGTTTAACTTTTGCATCGAGGCTTATCTTACTACTCCCTTACTAATAGGTTTCTCGTTCTTTCAAAATATTGTTGCAGGAGTACATAGTAGAGGATTTACATGGCTGTTACGCCCCTCCAAAACTGGATCCGGAACACGAAGAGAAAATCCCACCAGAGTAAAACCAAACACATAAAATAAAACTCAATTAATAAATTATTTTAAAACTCATAACCAAACACATTTACTTGAAACTCCATACCACTTTCAGAAGTCTACACTGAAATCATAACCAAATACATAACAAAAAAATTAAATTATTTAAAACTTTTTTTTTTTTGGATGAGCCGTATTTTTGTCATTCTTTTTTTAAAATTTTTCCCTACACACTAATTTAAACAATTTGTTAATACATATTTTCATAAAAAATCAAAAAGTTAACCCAAATATTCATATATTTTTTTCCAATTTTGTAGTCAAAAAAGATAAAAAGTATACTTATTTAGGACACCCTAAATATCTCTTAATATAATATTTTATTTTATTAAACTAAAATTTATTTTTTATTCTTTTATGATTATTTAGGGAAAAAAAAAAACCCAAAATCCTTCCATGTCAAAAAAATAGTGACAGTGGGTCAGTGCCCCAAAAGTCACGTTGAGGGAACAATGCCAAGAATAGCTTCTTCTCTTTTCAGGGTATTTTGGTAAATTTACCCCACAAGGGATTGAACCCAACACATTGATTTCTGTTTTGTCTGAACGTGGCTAAATAGCCTAATTGTCCGGACGTGGCTAAAATAGCATCAGTTTTGCTTCCCAAACGGTACCTTTGTATCTTAGGAGATACTTAACACGTGTGAATAAAAAAAAATAATGAAAGCTTTGTTTGGCAAACCTTCTATTTTAACAAAAAAAAAAATTATTATACATTATCACGTCATTCTTTTTATTTTTTACATATCTTTTTATAAAAATTTAAAAATTATTAAAATAATCTGTTTCTAAATGAAGTGTAACAAGTTTTCAAATTTTGAGGAGCCTCTAATATATACTCCAACAAGCCATTTTGCTCATAGAATCATGTTACCGTAATGATGGATATAGAGAGAATTTTATAAGGCATATCATATTACAAAAATACTTTATACCCACTGGGGTCGACCCCCATTCCAGTGAGGTGGAGGCTCGTATTGGAATAAAAAAATTTTATTATTATTATTATTTTTTTTGGGTTGTCAGCAAGGCGGGCGCCACTCACTGGGGTTGCGACCCCTACTTAGGGTATTTAGCAGGGCCTATCACATAATATGGGTATATGGAGGTTGAGATAATTATATTGGATTGCTTTTATGATTTTAATTTATATAAATGTTTATTTTATTTTTAATAAAAAGTTATTACTGATATGAATTAAAAAATAATATTTTATCTCTTTTATATTAAAGTGTATATTTTACTTATTTATGTTTATATCAACACACCATCTGTATTAATTTTGATCTCTGTTAATTTTATAAAAGAGAAATCAGTGTAATTAATATCAAAATTATGAAATCGTTATAATTTTTCCGAATATCATGAGAGGTCTAAATTTCATCTCCTTCTTTTTCTTTTGCTTTTTTTTCCACAAAAAAAAAAAGGGAAAGAAGAAGCTGCTCTACACATTGGAGGTGTGATGGGCACTCACGGCTCAAACTGAATTTTAAACCGTTTATATTGTGGGTTGCTAATAAAATTATGAGAGATTTACGTGCAAGTCCTTACCAAGTGAACTTGTTGCCCAATAATTTTATGATAATTAATGACATTTTTCATTATAACATTATTAAAAAACGTCACTAATTTTAATTTTTAACAACATTTAAAAATTTTGTCACAAAAAAGTCACTAATTATAAGTTTTAGCTACAGTTTAAAAAAATCGTTACAAAAAAATTCACTATTTTTCAACTTTCATCGATAGTTTAAAAATTCGTCATAAAAAAAGTCACTAAATGTAAGTTTTAAAATAATTAATAAAAATCGTGATAAAAAAAATCACTAATTGTCAATTTTTAGTGATGTGTAAAAAATTGTCACACAATATTTTTGGCAATGATTGTAACTAGGACTTTATGTTCAAAAAACTTGATGAGAAATTAAATTGGTAGTTACCCTAAAGTAGCGTCCATACAAAAAATTAGATTGATCAAACAATTGTAGACGTATTATTAAATTACATTTGTCTTCAAAACAATGAATGATTTATTTTAAAAATTACAATTAATCATCTGTTTTGTTTAATAACGAAGTGTGAATAATCACACAGTTACGGTTGTTAAATAATCTAATTTTTGTGAGGATGATTTCTAAGTGAGCCTTATAATAAATATCGCATTATCAAGATTTCTGTAATGGGCTTAGAGGGGGCCTTTAAAAAAATATGTACATGTATATATATATATATATATGAAAATTTTTGATATACACAACCTTAAAGGACCTCTAATTATGTCTTTTTTTTTTAAAAAAAATTAGTATGACTAATTTTTTCTTTAGTTATAACATATTTTAACTATGACTCGTGAAAATTTTAATTTATGCCTCATAGTGTGGTTTAGTTATGATATTGTTATTTTTTTTAATTATAATTCAAGTATAACTTAATATATTTTTTTTCTTTACACACCCTTTAAATCTATACCATAAGTGTTTCCCAATATATCTGGACCACATATGGAATTTATTCAGTAGAATGGAAGATTTTATGAAATCACCAAGACAGGTATGGTAGGAATGGAAACGGGGCAGGGCGGGGCGGGGCGGGGCCGGGGATCACACTACCTGTCCCCGATCCCGATGGTGGAAGTCTCCCTGTCCCCACCAATCCCCGACGGGGACCCTATCACCGTCCTCGCCTTTTAACGAGGATCGGGTTTCCCCGACCTCGCAAATCCCGGAACCAAAAAAAAAAATCAATTTCATCTCATCAACATCAACAACAACAACTACAAGATCTGTAGAAAATTGAATCTATTTTTAGTATTTCTCATCATCATCATCATAGACTCCTAGAAAATTTAAAACCAGAACAAAAAAAATTATGTTTCAACAATAAAAAATCCGTTTCATCAACAATCATCCTCAAACATCAACAACAACCAGTGTGTATATATTATATATATATCGTTGGAGAGAAGAGCGAGCAACAGCTTACGACTTGAGAAGCCGCTTTCGCCACCACGAAGAAGCCATGGCTAAGAGTTCAGAGATGAGATCAAAAACAACACAAATGCCAGACCAAAAGATGACAGCGGTGTGATCATTATATGGCACAGCAAATCTGTTTTATCGCTGCTCAGATTTGGGGTAGAGGAAGAAGAACGAAAGAGAGAGAGAGAGAGAGAGATGGTGATCGATCGATGATAGTAGGAATTAGAGATGGGTAGGGAGAAAAGAAGAGGAGTAGAGGACGGCGATGAAGGAAGAGAGAGATGAGAGACCACGATTTGTATTGTTGTGTGAGGTGAGGGTTGGTTTTTGTTAATATGTAATATATATAAGGGGTATAAAAGTAATTTTTACTTCGGGGAAAATCCGAGAATGGGGTTGAGCCGGGCTTGAACACTGATCCCCAGCCCCGGCCCGAAACAGATCGGGAATTGATTTTCAAATACTGTCTTTTCTCCGTCGGGGGTAATTATTCGGAAAAAACTACTCAAATCGGGGTCAGGGCCTGGGATCCCCATCGGGTCGGTTTCAAATTGTCATCCCTAGGTATGGGAAGTCTTCCCTCATGAGTTCACTCTACCTTATTTTTTCCACTCCCTCTTAAATGAGTTTGGTTATTTCTAGAAAAAAAAAAAAATTAATAATAGAGTTATTTTGGGGATTCCAAATAAATTATCAATTTTCTATCAAATCTCTCGTACGGGTAAATAGGACTCACACACATGTGATTGTGTAGATCTCATACATATATGAGAAGTTTGGTAAAAAAAATAATTCGTTTGGAAGTTCATAGCATTTTTCAAAAAAATATCCAACACTAAAAGTCAATCTACACTTCAATTTTTTTTATTTTTTTTTAGCAAATGTTAATAAATGTTCTTAAGTCACCAAGTTAATGTCGAGAATGTAATAAAAAATATTTTGAAAAGTGTAAAACATAGGATAAATTAGGCTAATTGGAAA